GAAATCAGCCAGACCATGAGAGAGATCATGGGACTTCTCAGTAGCTGTCCTGTCCAAGTGTATATGGAAGCTAGTTTCACAGTGTTCATCAGCCCTAAGATAAATTTTCAGTGATTCCCATGGTGGATCTTGGTGTCTGCATAATGAGCCACTATTTGATTGTCCCTGTGAGGAAACTGAGGTTCAGAGGTACAAAGTCTTGTTCATGGCCAGCGTAGAAAGGGGTGAGAGCCTCATTTTGGAGACCCATTTCCTTCCTCCCAAACCTGAACAGAGACCTACCTTTGTTAGAAGTATAGTCTGGGAAGAAGGACCTTTTGTTTAGCAGGTTTTTAAACATAGTCTGCTTGGTTGCCCAGACAGCTCAATCGGTAGAGCAGGAGACTCTTAAACATAGTCTGTTAGGAAGTTGGAATGGTTAAACATGTAGGGAGATTCATAGAAAGCAGAGCTATGGTTACACAAAGGGATGGCCCTGAAAACCCAGGCAGAGTGCACTGCCCATCCTGGCACTTCAGCAGCCATCTTTGCAAGCCTTTCCCATCTCTTTCTCTCTAACCAGCCCTTTCCAGATTCAGTTACCTCCGTAAAATTTTCTCTCCTCCCACTTCAGTATTACTCCAACATTGCCCAGTGTGCCCATTCCTGGCACTCCTACTCAAGGCAGCTCATTATGTGACACTGAGACCCACACAGAGGCAGAGGGTTGCTGAAACTTTCTCTCAGGGCAGAAGCACTGGGGAAACCAGCTGTCATGCACAAGTGAACAGGTCTTCTGTCCCATGATCTTCCTGTGGCCTGGCTGGTTTCTACCCACAGAGTCACAGATTTGAGCATGTTCTTCACAGAAACAGACTTGAGCCACATTTTGCTTATTGTTATCTCCCAGAATGTTTTACTCTGTTAGAAGCTACATGCATCCATGGAACACTGGTCCACTGGAAAAGATTAAAAGGCCTTATTCCAGTTCTCAAGCAGTCTCCACTTTGCTGTGAAACCTTGAGCAAGCACTAAAAGTCTTGGTTTTCTCATCTATCAAATGAGAGTCAGCAATAACTGTCAGCACTTTGCCTCACTGGTAGGAAGGTTAAATCACTGAAAGTGTGTGAGCAATGTACAGATGTATGAAAGCACACAGATGTCCAGTCAACCATGTGGTCTGAAAACGAGTTCCTCTTCCAAGACTTTTCCATGACTAGTCAGAGTCCAATAACACAGATCTCTTCAACATATGAATCTCTCCAGCTACCTTTCGGAAGGGTGAAATGTGAGGAGAGCATCTCTGCTATTTGGATTTGTGTACCTCGTTACTTCAAAGGGTAACAGTGGACTTTATAACAACACTTGCTAAACTTTGCTGGTGACCTCTGTTTTCTTCTATTCAGATTCTCATTCAACGTACTGAATGACTTGTAGGATGTCTTATGTATAATAGATACTCAGTACCTCAATTGAGCTAAGGAAATGTATAATATAAAAATGAACCTATGTCATGTATGTAATGTGATATAAAATGTAAGCTAAGAAAACAGTTCTTACCGAAATAAATTGCCAAAAGATAATGCTAAGATTATAGTGGAATTTAAAAACTTAATTGGTTAGGGTAAGAGATGCCTTTGTATTCCAGAAAAGTTGAAACTTTCCAAGAATGTGAGTATTCCTATTCCCAGTTCTTCAGAAGTACGGTCCACATCCTAATAAGGTTTGGGGGAAATTCCTCACTAACTTTCAGTATGCTTGGTGAACTATGGGCATAGAATTTAGTCAAAGCATGTGGGTGGGAAGAATCTTTAATCTCAATATAATTACAGCAGCCACAGGTCAGCAAAGCAATATTTCTTAGTTTGTAGCAGATAAACCTTTTTCTGAGGAATTCTCAGCAACATCTAAATTAACCAGAACTTAATAGAGTATAGACACCACTTCATATAATTAGTACCAACCTCCTCCCCGCCTTTTTCTCTCTGCTTAAGTCAAAGAGAAAATAGGCTTTTAACAGGAATTTATGTGAATGAATTTCTGGGGTTGTTCCAAAATCAAATGATAGGTTGGTTTCCTATAGCTTCAATTTTATGTCTCTATTGCTGTATGTGACAATTGAACCTAAGAATAATGAACCCATTTCCAATAAAAAAGATTATGTTTGCTATAAGTGTCATAAACGTATACATATAAACAAGAGCATGCATTCCAGAACTTGACTTCCCATGGGGGCTTTCTGAGGGGCTGTCTGAGTTAACAAAGTCCCTTTTTTTATATAGGTGTCAAAAATTGAGTGGTAAAACGACTGCATTTTTCTTTTCATTTTCAGATGTACTGCCCAGGAAAGGCATAGAGAAAAGGGACTTATTTCCTTTAAAATTGATGTTATTATGGAAACTCTATAATATTGCAATTACAGTTGTAGTTTTCAATCATGGGAAAATATATATTAGCAAGACTTTCATGATTGGCGTGGGGAAATAAATCTTGAATCACAACCATCAAGTTAAAAATAAAACTTCTTGCCCAGGTGTGGATCAATGGTTGAGCATTGAACTATGGACCAGGAGGTTATGTTGCGATTCCTGGTTGAGACACATGCCAGGGTTGTGGGCTCGATCCCCAGTAAGGGGCATGCAGGAGGCAGTTGATCAATGTCTCGCTCTCATTGATGTTTCTATCTTTCTATCACTTCCCCTTCCTCTCTTTCTAAAAAATCAATAGAAACATATTAAAAAAATAAAAATAATTTGTTTTCCATTTGGGGGCATTTTAGTTTGTTTATGAGTCAGAAAGAGTTCCTTTTATATGAAGGTAAATAAGTTGACTAATACATTTTAGAAAGATTTTAAACAAGAAGAACTTACAGGACTCTAATCATTAAATTAAAATCCCTATTTCAGTAAGGTTTTTTGAATATCCAATACTATGTTAATTGATGACCTTAATAGTTACAACATTGGTTAGAAGCTTTGATATCTTCAACTCACATCATGTATTATACTTCATTTTTATGACAACTAGAGCCAGGTTGTTTAAAGGAAAGTGTAAGCTAAGGGGCCTGATCTCATTCCTGTAAACCGCCTTGCTCACAAACATAAATGAGATGGCAGTTTGCCACAACTTTCCCATTTGGCCCACATAATTCTTCTATTTCCCAAATAATTTCCCCTTCAATGAAGCCTACTACTTTACTTGCATAGGATATAAATTCTTTGTCAGTTATCTATTTGTTAGTGTTTGAGATTAAAGATATTAACCAAGTTCACAAACAAATATTCTTTAAAATGTGTGATTAGTTTATGATTCCTGTTTATCCAAGGAATATAGCTTATATAAATCCTGAACAAATAATTGCCTTTCCAGGTAGCAATAAGAAACTTTTATCAGTGTGGTTCAGATTTATTGAGCCTAGAAATACCAAGATTCAATGTTACAAGATAGTCATTCCTGTTATATTTATGATTCAATAATATTAACCCAAGACATTCTCTCTGATTCTAGTCTGCAGCAAGGGATGGGGAGAAAGGTATCAGCTACTGAGTTGGCTTGCCGTTGGTGCCATGTTGCATAAATACACATGCCAGCCTTGAATCTTTAGAGTTTCAATGTCCATTATGATTGCCTTAGGCACATGTGACACGTGAGCACTTGAAATGGAGATGTGCTGTCAATGTGAAATCACACCTGGCTTTGACATTTTTATATAAAAATAGAGAATGCAAAAGATGTCAGTAAGTTTTACATTGAGTGCACATTGAAATGATAATATTTGAAGATAGTTGGCTTAAGAAAAAGGTTAATTTCACCTGTTTATTTTTCCCTTTTTAATGTGGATTCTAGACAACTTAAAATTACATGAGTGGCGCATGCTTCTGTGAGGCAGCAGGGAGCTTCTGCCGGGTGTTGCTAAGGAGCTGGGAGCAACTGAAAGGAGCAAAATGGAGTCCCACCTCAGCTTAAGGGCAGTTACTTGGAGACAGAGAAAGCATAGCTGTTCCTCTGTTTAGGTTTCCATCTCTCAAATTCTTTTGAGGCTAGTAAAATGGGACCTCACTGAATACAGATTTCTAAACTGAGTTTGTCCATCCCAGTACCCAAAGATAAAGTGTCAACTGCAATCTTCATTGATACAATGGCTAATGTTCTATAGCACTGGGTACAGTGCTTGTTCTAAATGCTTTTATGATCACCCATTTCATCCTCTCACCAGCAAGGTGAGGCAGGTACTATTTCTACCTCTGTTTGAACAGATGTGGACTTGAGACTCTGAGACATTAAGTAATTTGCTCAAGGTCACACATCTAGAAGTTGACCTGTACAGTAGGATTCCCCGGATTTCGGCCCTTAGCCATGATGCAGTACTATCCTCGAAGACAAAAATCTCTTTTTGATGCTTTAACACATTAGTATGCATGCCTCTCCATCATATAACAATGGTGTCAGTGTTTTCTCCACAACTTAGATGTTGTTCAGTAATGTAACAGCTAAGATTTAAAAATATTTACTGTGTCAGAAATTGGGGACCTAGTGTAAGGTCATGAATGATCCAACTTCTTGTTTTTCCCTAAAGTTGCCCCCAAAAGCATACCATAGTTCAGTATATTTTAAAATGTAGGTAGCTTGATTCAAATGAAATAAATATGAAGTACCTACTATGTGCCAAACACATTGCCAAGTACTGGGGACACAGAGATAAAGATGATAAATTCACAAATGGTTCTGGTCTAGGGAACCTAAAAGCACCTTCCTGCAATACAGTGTTGAGGCTTGTGTGTTGTGGGAATGAATGAGCAGCACATTACACAATTTGGGGTTCAGGGTAGAGCTGTAGTAGTCAAGAAATCTAAGAGGAGGGAGTGCTTAAGCCATCTTAACATACCTCCCACTAGTTCCTGGGGTTTGATTTATATTGCATGAAGACCATTGTTAATAATGACAGCTGAGGTCAGTGTACTAGTAAGTGTCTGAGTCTCTTGGGTGGTTGAGAGCGCTGATTCCATTTGTTTGGTTTTCAGGTACCAGTAAGGTCAACCTCGTGAAGATCCCGTCCACAACCTCCAGCCCAAGAGACACAGCCCTGGCTGCTGTTATCTGCAGTGCCTTGGCTACTGTCCTGCTGGCTCTACTCATTCTCTGCATCATCTATTGTAAGAGACAATTTATGGAGAAGAAACCCAGCTGTAAGTTTTGAGCTCTTTCTATTTCTTAGCATTGGTGAAGTGCAATTATCATCATTGTCGTTTGTGTGTTCCACAAGAGACTTGAATAAGACGAGAATCAAGGAGCTGTTTAAGGCACAGAGAGCACATGAAAAGAGATCTCACAGTCTTTTGTCACAGTCTTTTTAGCCCTGAGGGAGCAGACTGATGGGTAGCAGAGATGTCCTTGTGCCACTAGGCAAAATTAAAATTACTCTAAGTGCTGGCAACATAAGTACTTTCCATTTCAAGCTTTCTTAACAAATTATTTCATACTAGATGCCCAGTGCACAAAGTTTGTGCACTGGTAGGGTCCCTAGTAGCTGCCAGCTGCTGGCCAGGTACTCCCTCCCTTCCCCTGGTCGCCTGCCACTGCCACCGGGCTTCCTGTCACTGCCACTGCTGGCTGGGGCCTCCCTCCCTTCCCCTGGCTGGCCCCACCCCCCTGGTCGAACTCTCAGATGACCTCCCGGTCGAGGGGACAATTTGCATACTATACTTTTATTATATAGGATTTGTGCCTTTGTGTAAGAAGAAATATTTTAAAATGTGAATGATAGCCTTCTTTAAAAAAAAAAATACAAGTGCTAGGATGGTACTTGTCTGCATTATGATGTGAAGGACGTCCTTTAAAGAGGAAATTGTCTTTACTGACAGAATTCTCACCCCCTCTTTTAGGGTCTCTGAGAGCACAGGACATTCAGTACAATGGTTCTGAACTGGCCTGTTTTGACAGACCTCAGCTCAATAACTCTGTTCCCAGAGCCTGCTGTCAGTGCCACCCGGACTTAGCCCAGACCTGCGGTAAGTTCAGACAGTTATGAATCCTTTAGGGAAACCAGAGGAATGACATTGAAGCTGCAAAGAACTGTTCTGTTCCTGTTTGTCCCACAGCTAGGTTGCTCCGCTTGGTTTCTACTTAAAGCTAATCTTGTTAAATAGTTATTCTCACCCTAACCTGTTTGGCTCAGTAGATAGAACGTCAGCCTGCGGACTCAAGGGTCCCAGGTTCGATTCCGGTCAAGGGCGTATACCTTGGTTGAGGGCATATCCCCAGTGGGGGGTGTGCAGGAGGCAGCTGATCGATGTTTCTCTCTCATTGATGTTTCTAACTCTCAATCGTTCTCCTTTCCTCTCTGTAAAAAATCAATAAAACATATTTAAAAAAATAGTTATTCTCCACCGTACTCAAATGTTTGGTGTGTGTTGTGCCACTTAAATATTAAGAAGAAAATAATGATCAAAATCCTAAAAGTTTTCAGCAAATTTGTCTTTGTTGTTTTGAGTCAGTTAATGTAAAACACTATCAACTTTATGTAGAGGAGGACTTTGTATCCCTTCCTTTCTAGTGGGCTCACACCTAAAGTTCATGTATCCACCTTAATGCCTTGGATTTCTTAAGGAAGAAGGAGGAGAAAGCTCTATGACAGGGTTTTCCACAAACCATAATTGCCTGTTAGTTTTTTTTAAATATATTTTTTATTGATTAAGATATTACATATGTGTCCTTGTCCCCACGTTACTCCCTACCCCGCCCCCGCTCATCCCCTCCCCCCCCCCCCCCCCCC